GAGGTAAATGAAGAGGTCATTAATAATAAAGACGAAGAAGAAGTATAAGACAAAAGGCAAATGAATTATGTAAAAAAAGAAAAACAAGAAAAGCAGGTGCAATGGAGAGAGAGAGAGAGAGAGAGAGAGAGAGAGAGAGAGAGAGAGAGAGAGAGAGAGAGAGAGAGAGAGAGAGAGAGAGAGAAAGAGGGACAGACAGACAGAGACAGAGACAGAGACAAGACAACATACACACACCCATACAGAGAAAGAGAGAGAAAGAGAGAGAGGCAGACAGACAGGCAGGCAGACAGAATCAGAGCGAGAGATGAACAGAGCACGGAGATGACCGGCCAGATGCAATTGGATCATGCCGCCGCCGCTACTACCGCGTCCGCCCTTGCAAGCAGGCACACTGGAGGCGAACGCAGCGACGTGGAATTCACTAGAAAGAGGAATTGGGAGATAAACATGAATATTAGGGATTCGGTAGATAGAAGAATTAGGAGATAGGAGGAATATAAGGAATTCATTAGAGAGAGGAATTGGGAGAGACTTGAATATTACGGATACAGTAGATAGAAGAAGTAGATAGACAGGTATATTAGAAATTTAGTAGATTAAAGAATAGGGAGAGAGACAGGAAGATGGATGAATAGATATATTAATAGTTGGCATGGAAGGTGAATGAGTAGATTAGACGATAAGAAGGTGGAAGATATATAATAGAGATAAAAGAGATAGATAAATAGATAGATAGATAAAAAATAGATTGATATATATAATGAGATAGTTATATATACAGACTGAGAGATAGACAGACAGACAGATAGATATGTATGGATATTGTAGAAATAGAAATATATTGACAGAGCGAATCGTAAGATGTGAAATATGGACATAATATGGACGGAATAAAGCAAGAAATAGCGAGACAGCGAAGGAGAAGGAAAACAAGAAAATGAAAAGGATGGAGAGGAACGAAGGATGCTAAAACAAAAAGCAAAAAAGAAACAGAAAATGTAAACATCCTTGAAAATTAGTCAAACAGAAGAATATACACAACTCCAATTGTCCAAATATAATCGAAATCAAAATGATCAATAAATAAAGGAAATGACAGGAATAATAATATGTATGTATGTATGTATAAATAATAATAATAATAATAGTAATAATAATAACAATAATAATAATAATTTTAGCTATGTTGCATGAAATAAATGACGTAATAAAGAAGACAGATAACGTTCGGTAGTGGTATTATCATAATCATCATCATCATTATTATCATTGTTATTGTTATTGTTGTTATTAGTAGTAATAGGAGTATTGTTATTATCATTTTTATTGTTATTATTATTATTATTATCATTATTGTTGTTGTTATTAATATTATTATTATTATTATTATAGTTATTATTATTATTGTTATTATCATTATTATTATTATCATTATTATTATTATTATTATATTATATGCACCACTATTTTTTTTTATTATCATCGATGTTATTATCATAATCGTTATTATTGTTTTTCATCATCGGCATTGTTAGCATTATGATCATCATAGTTATTTTTACTACCACCACTGTTATTATTATTATCATTATTATTATTTTCCTTAGTATTTTTGTTATTGCTTTTGTTGTTGTTGCTGCTGTTACTATTATTGTCATCATTATTATTACTATCCTAATTATAATTGTTGTTGTTATTGTCATTAAAGTTATTGTTATTATTGTCATTGTAATTGTTTTTATTATTATTATTATTATTATTATTATCATTAACATAATCATAATCATTGCTATTATTATTACTGTAACATTATCTTAAATATCGCTATTACTACTCTCTCTCTCTCTATCTGTCTATCTATCCATCTATCTCTTTATATCTAGTCATCTATTTATCTATCAATCTATCTATCTATTCTACCTTCAAAGTCTCTTTTTCATTCCCTCTCTCTCTCTCTCTCTCTCTCTCTCTCTCTCTCTCTCTCTCTCTCTCTCTCTCTCTCTCTCTCTCTCTCTCTCTCTCTCTCTCTCTCTCTTTCTCTCTTGTTTGCGTCCTCCCATCTGCATGTAGTTCGGATTAGCGTTTTAGAGAGAGAGAGAAATCCGACACTGATCGACTTACGGCGTTGCGTGCGCGAAGGTCGATTATCCCATCCGTCTCTCGTAGTAATTTCGATCTTACGGACCGAGGCGAATATAGATCTCAAACTCCGATGCGGTTTTAAGGGGAAGGGGAAGGAAGTATTGAGGGGGGGGGGTTATGGTGGGAGGGAGGAGAGGGGAAGGGGGGGCGGTAACGACGATGATGGTAGCGGTGATAGCGGCGGCGGTGGCGGCGGCGGCGGCGGCGGCGGCGGCGGCGGCGGCGACGGGAACGGTGGCGGCGGCGGCGGCGACAGAGACGGAGACAACGAGGGATAAGAGGCGTAGCGGTGTAGCGGGAAATTGTCGGGTTGTCGGGTTGTCGGGTTGTCGGGCGGTCGGGGAGGTCTGTGATCGTGTCGTACACAGCTCGCCGGGGAATCTGCGTACTTTATCCCGGGAGCGAAAAAACGGAGGAACGGTTTAAAAGGAAATTTCCAAACTGAAAGATGAGGATTTACATAGAGGTCCTTTCATGCTTCTTTCTTCTCCCCCTCCCCTCCCCCCCCCCTCTATCCTTCCCCCTCCTCCTCCTCCTCCTCCTCTTGCCCTCTCCTCTCCCTCCTCATCTTCCCCTTTTTTTTTCTCTCTCTCTCCGATTTTTTTTTATATGTATACCGTCCCTACCCTAACCCCCCATTTCACCGCCCTTCCCCCCCCTTCTTCCTCTCTCCTTTCCCTCTCTTCCCCCTCCTTTTATTCTCCCTCCCTCCTTCCCCCTTATCCCAACCCCCCCCCCACCCCTCCTCCTCTGCACGCCTCCTTCCCCTGATCCCAAACCCCCCTCCCTCCCTCACCCCCACACCTCCTTCCCCCCCATCCCCCCTTCCCCCTTCCCCCTCCCCCTCCCCCCCAGCACGCCAATATCCCCCTTGCGGCCGGGCGAGACTGGGGCCAGAGTCGCCTCCCTGAAAACCTTTACCTGTAGCACCCGTCGAAGGGGGAGAGGGGGCTCGCTTGAAAAAATGCCCACTACAACAAGTGGTGATAGGGGTCAAATTAGATCAACCGCAGCCGGGGCACTTAGGCCCTTTTGTGATCCGGCGCTGGAATCCGCCAGATCCGCGCAATCCCTCATTAGAGAAGGATTAAGGGGATGAGGACCGCCAGTAATCCTACCGACGCACGATACCAAGGGTCCGGTGTTCACTGTTCAACCCTTGTTCAAATTGTTCACTTTCTCTCTCTCTCTCGCTCTCTCGCTCTCTCGCTCTCTCTCTGTTTCTCTGTCTCTGTCTCTCGCTCTCTCTCTCTCTCTCTCTCTCTCTCTCTCGCTCTCTCTCTCGCTCTCGCTCGCTCTCTCTCTCGCTCTCGCTCTCTCTCTCTCTCTCTCTCTTTCTCTCTCTCTCTCTCTCTCTCTCTCTCTCTCTCTCTCTCTCTCTCTCTCGCTCTCTCTCTCGCTCTCTCTCTGTTTCTCTGTCTCTGTCTCTCTTTCTCTCTCTTTCTCTCTCTCTCTCTCTCGCTCTCTCTCTCTCTCTCAGTTTATCTATCCATCTCGTGTGTAATCGTTCTCTCCTGCCTTTTTCTCCTTTTCTCGATCTATTTCTGTCTATTCTTGGGTCTGTGTTTCTTCCTTCCTTTCGTTCTTGTCTCTCCGTCCGTTATTCTGATTCTCTCTCTCTCTCTCTCTCTCTCTCTCTCTCTCTCTCTCTCTCTCTCTCTCTCTCTCTCTCTCTCTCTCTCTCTCTCTCTCTCTCTCTCTCTCTCTCTCTCTCCCTCTCTCTCTCTCTGTTTCTCTGTCTCTCTGTCTCTCTCTCTGTGTTTCTTCCTCTTTCTCTCTCTCTCTTTCCCTCTTTCTCTCTCTTTGTCTCTCTCTTTATACGTCTAAGATTTTTGCCTTGTCATGAATTATTTGATTTTACATCTATTGCCGTTTGTCGTTTCTCTTTTGTTTCGCCTATTATTTTTCCTTTCGTTTATCACTTAAGATTCACTTTCTTAAATATTATCTTTCCTCTCTTCCATCTCTCTTTCTTATTTGTGTGTTATTTAAGTCCTCTCTCCCCGTTTCTCTTTAGCTTCTTACTTGTTTCTTTCTTTCTTTTTTACTCTTTCTCTTCTTCTTCCTCATCTATCTTTTTTTTTCTTCTCCTTCTCTTTATCCACCCAAATCTTATTCTTTTCACTATCCTCCTCATCCTCTTCTTCTGTTTTTCTCTTATTATGTTGCTTATCTTTATCTTCTACCTTACTCCTCGCCTTCTTCCTCCTCTTCGTTTTTTCCGATTCTACTTATTCCTACTTATTTCATTCAACCTCCTTTTTCCTCTTTCCTTTTTCTCATTTTCCTCATTTTCTTTCTTCTATCTTTTTTTCCCTCCTTTCCTTCCTTCTCCTTTTTCCTTCCTCCTCCTCCTTCCTTCCTTCCTTCCCCTCCTCCTCCTCCTTTTCCTCCTCCCTCCTCCTCCCCCTCCTCCTCCTCCTCCTCCTCCTCCTCCTCCTCCTCCTCCTCCTCCTCCTCCTCCTCCTCCTCCTCCTCCTCCCTCTCCTCCTCCTACCCCTCCTCCTTCTTCCCATCCACCTCCTCCCCCTCCTCCTCCTCCCCCTCTTCCCCCTCCTCCTTCTACTTCTCCTCCTCCTCCTCCTCCTCCTCCTCCTCCTCCTCCTCCTCCTCCTCCCCCTCCTCCTCCTCCTCCTCCCCCTCCTCCTCCTCCCCCTCTTCCTCCTCCTTTTCCTCCTCCTCTTCCTCCTTCCCTCCTCCTCCTCCTCCTCCTCCTCCTCCTCCTCCTCCTCCTCCTCCTCCTCATCCTCATCCGCCTCTTCCTTCTCCTTCTTCCTTACGTCTTCTCATCCTTCCTCCTCCTGTTTCCTCTTCCTCCTCCACTTCCCTTTTCTTCTCCTTCTTATCCACCTGTATCTTAAGGCCCTTCATATAAGCTTTGGGTTATCGATTCAAAACCACTATCCCTCTACCAAAGTTCTTCGCTATCTATCGCTTTTTACCTATCTATTGATTTATCTATTTTGGCTGTTTTTTGTTGTCTATATATCGATCGATCTTTTTTCTCTATTGTAGTGATCTATTTCTAGTCTATTTCCACTGTATATGTATCTATGTGTCTATCTATCGTCAGGTTTCTCTATATCTCACCATCGCGGATCTATATAGCTATCTATTGCCATGTATCTATCTATCGCCATATATCTCTCTCTCGCTAAGTATTCTATATGTCTATTTATCTATCTTTTTGTCTTTCTGTATTTATCTTATCCTTTTCCTCTTCCTTCGTTCTACTTTCGATCTCAGTGCCGTTTCTTATGCAATGTGGTGTGCGTTAAGTGCCTTTCTCAGTGCCTTTCAATAGCTGTTCGAATACACAGGGATGTTTGTTCGCGTGTGTATGTCTGCGCGTGTGTGTGGTTATGTGTGTGTGTGTGTGTGTGTGTGTGTGTGTGTGTATGTGTGTGTGTGTGTGTGTGTGTGTGTGTGTGTGTGTGTGTGTGTGTGTGTGTGTGTGTGTGTGTTTCATTGTTTGTATTGGTATTATTATTGTTTCTTTAATCGATTTTGTATTGGTGAAAGACGTAAAAAGAGAGAATAAGGAGGAAGACAGAGTAAGGAGAAAGAGAGAGAGAGAGAGAGAGAGAGAGAGAGAGAGAGAGAGAGAGAGAGAGGGAGAGAGAGAGAGAGAGAGAGAGAGAGAGAGAGAGAGAGAGAGAGAGAGAGAGAGAGAGAGAGAGAGAATGAGAATGAACACACCAGCGCTAATAATTACGTGAATATCGGCTCCCTCACAGCAAATCCGGCTAAATTATCCTCATATGCGTTTACTCATTCTCTGTCTATATTTTCCTTCGAAGGAAGCAAAAAGTAAACAAAGAAAACCGTAGAGAATA